AAGAAGACTTCAGCATGTTAACACTGAAAGCTTTACTGCCAGATGTGATATGTGCCACCCACTCTTACACTGTAACTGTCATCGTAGAAGCCATGGTGGTTATCTTTGGCATGCCAAGTCACAGCCTTATTAGAATTGAGCAAACATTTTCAAGAGTTGTGGGCTGCCTTCTTCATTTCATCTCACTGAGGTCGGAGACTTTGGGTCCAAATACAGCTGGGGCAGTGGCGTTCCCACCCTCAAACGTGAGAACGGATTCCCAAAGGCTTGTTCACGGGCGTAGTCTTTAATCATGCCGATCGGGATGAAATATGTACTGACAGACTGCTGGTTTGGCTCTCATTTGATCATATGTCACATTATGCTGCTGAATTCATAGGTTCAGCCCCATTTACCGTTTACCCTCTCAAAGCGTGTTTTTAAGTATCGAGGTTTCATTTTAGTTAGCTTAAATGAAAGAACTAGGGTTGGTTTTAGACTTTTGTGCACCTGTAATTAGAAAGTGATTGTAGTTATCTGGTGGAGAGCTGTTTCATTATCAAGACTGGGCATAAAAATACAGTGATAAAATGGACATCTAACATTAGGGAAGGCACTGGCTCTAGTTAAGGTTGTCTACGTGACCACATTAAACTCATTCAAAAATAAAACATTTTTCCACCTCTTAGATTAACAGTGCTTTTGCTTTCTATGGATCTTTTACATTTACTAATTGAGAAACATCCAACTTCAAAGTCAACCTACAACTTCCCTTCTATAACATGCTAGCCTGTTAGAGATTTTACTGACATATAATTTTCCATCTGCTGGATAACCACATAAACATAGGTCTATATGTTGTTGGAAACTGCTGAAATTAAACTCTTTGAGGAACAAGCTCTCAGTGAAAAGTAAGTTATTTCAAATTTGCAAATCTAGGTTCAGGATTGAGACAGTTTAAGTATAAAAAGGAAAGTGGAATCTAATGTTTTGGTTTGTGTCTAAAGGGACTGCACGTGAGAGGGATAACAGTATTTGCATTTGAGTTGTCAGTAAACCAAAAGTCTCACTGTGGCTTTGAATAGAGTCTCAATCAGATTTGAAGAAATAGCTCTTCAGACTACACACAGATCCACAACAGCTTTAACTTAAGATCAGATAATGATTCAGATTTTATCATCCAAAGAGAAGAATTACACACTTTTACTGCATTATTTGTGTCCTCAACCCAGCCCCTGATCCTTCTGATTGCATAGAGAGTATGTTAACCACAATGGCCAAGCGCAAAGTATTTTAAGAAACTATTTGACAGGCAAAGTCAAAATTTAAGGAGGATTTTTCCCTGCAGTTATAGCATTACAGAATTTATGTCAGCCGTTGAAAGTAAAGAAAAACTCAACTCTAAGGACATGTTGCCAACTTTCTAAACTCCCATCATCATTGCATTCATCATGGCCATCAGTGGGCCAAATTACAGGGATAGCGTTTCTATTTCCTTTCACAACCGACTTTGTTATTTTACTGTGTAATTTCACCCGGAGTTACATATAGATACCGAGTACAGTGCCTCCATACAGAAGGGGCTAAACACACTGGATACTTGTATGGCCACACTAATTTGGGTTTTCATAGATTTCCCTAACTACAGTTTAAGTGCCGTATGTCAGTGCTCATTGTGAGGACTTCATCAGTCTGTGTAGATTACTTAAACAGTGGGAATGTGGCCTAAGCTGAGCTGCTAAAAGAGGAAGTGGTCGAGATATGACTTTTTTTTATCTCAGTAAAGCCATACTGGTGACCAGGGTGGAACCAGGCCTGCAATCTAGGAAAGCCCACAGAGAGACTAGTTTAGGCTGCAATTTTGTCCTCAATATTGAACCCATCCTTACCTCAGGATTTCCTCAGGCAGCTCTTTGCCTTTGGTCTTTGTGGTTTTGTTTATGTTGATTTCAGCTGCAGCTCATTTCCACTTTCTCAGTTTTTGTCTTTTGTTTTAAGAAAACAGGCAAGCCTTTGTTTGCTGTATGTTTTCGAACCCTGTAATTGCCCTGCCACAGTCATCCCTCATTCACACGTGCTGCCCTTGTATCTTCATATTCAAAAACATATAGAATATGAATGTTTTAACACAATGTAATTTATGAAATTAAATGATTTTGCACATTTGTTGGGCTGCTCATCATTTTTAGTTTGTTAAAGATTCAATCTTAGATCTCTTTAATTGAGACAGTCTACAGTCTATTCCTTTGTCAGTAAAAGCATGTGATTTGGAACAGAGTTTGGACTTTGGTACAATAAATGTGAGTATTTTTGCAGTAACTGGCACTGATTAATAGAATATCTTGTTTATGTTCAGCCATTTAAAATGTGTAAAGTAAGAAAAAATCAGTCAATATGCGGAGAAAAAGTGTGATTCATTTTTTGTTAGGCCTACTCATATATTAAATGGTAATTAAGCAGTTTTTATTGTTATTTTAATGAATTTATGTAATAATAGGCTCTTAATCTTGTGCTTTGTAGGCACTGGACCAATCCATATGAACAACGTCCAGTGTATGGGCAGTGAGCGTTCTATTCTGGATTGCTTCTTCCAGGAGGTGCAGCCGTGGACATTCAAACACAGTCAGGACGCCTCAGTCCGATGTAACGTACCAAAGACTGGCAATGAAAAAACGGTACAAAATGACATCCTGTCCACATACACCCTATTGAATTTCCATGGAAAAAGAAACATATGTCACAGCTGTAATTTGTGGACTCCAGGTGCGACTGGCAGGAGGCAGAGTCCCATCTGAAGGCCGAGTGGAGGTGTTGATGGAGGTCGGAGGCAGAAAGCGCTGGGGCTCCGTGTGCAGCGAGAACTGGGGCATCGACGAGGCCATGGTGGTGTGTCGACAGCTCGGACTGGGCTTTGCTGCCAGTGCACATGAGGTACCACTTCACATGCACCATTTACAGTAGTTGTGTTTATCTTAGGAATGTGTTCTTTGTTAAAAATAAAATATTGAAATAAAATAAACTATAAACTATAGTAATTTAGTTAATGGGCTTAGTCAAGATATTTTTTTTTAGGCTTATAAGAAGCAGAAAGGGGAAAATATGGAGTTAGTTGGAGTATATGAGGTGACTTGGCAGTGTAATCTTCCTTTACACTTATGAAGATAATGTTTACTAGCACTTCTCTATATATATTGTAGTTTATGCTCGAGATTCTTACATTGTCTTCTAAACTCTGGCTAAACTGCCTGTGTGCTTCTGTCCCAACAGGAGACATGGTATTGGCCTGGTGACCCAAGTGCAGAGGAGGTGCTCCTCAGTGGTACTCACTGTGTGGGCACAGAGCTTTCCATTCAGCAGTGTCGCCGTAACAACCACGTGCACTGTCCCAGAGGAGGTGGAACAAAGGCGGCTGGAGTCACCTGCTCCGAGAGTAAGTCCGATCCTCAATGTCACTGACGCAGCTGTTTATATTGGTGGTTTTCTGATTCTACAATGTGACACTGTCGTATTGTCAGATTAGGGTTATGTGCCGTTTTATTTAGCAATTTTGTCATTTAAAAAATCATATTCATAAAATAGAACCTGGTTCCAAATCAGCTCCTGTAACCACTAGCAGCACGAGCCTCATTTGAGTGGAGTCGAACGGTATGATCACAACAGAAATTCACATTTAAAGGTGCATTATGTAACTTTTTGGTTGGGGGTCCATCACCTGCTTGTTTCTATGGATATATCATTGCTCTGCCTGGAATGATCCACAGTGTGACATTAAACAGCTCTACCTTACATTTCTTCAATTACAGGTGGTTTTATAGCTCAAAAATACCTAGAAAAACAGCAATTCTGACTATGAGCGGGGTTGCCTTTCCACAGATCTGACCTATAACTTGGTCTAGTTTGGTCTCTGTGAAGATACAAAGGTTTAATACCATACTGTGAAACATTCCAGACAAAGCAATAATACCTCTATGGAGAAAAGCATTTGATGGACCCTCCACCAGAAACATTACACAATGCACCTTTAAAAATATTCATGTTAACTGCCCCCTGTTCTGTATTACTATTATCCCATATAATGCTGTGATGCCATAGCTCACATCTCTATCCTTCATCCTTCTAGCTGCTCCTGACCTGGTGGTGGATGCTCAGCTCGTTCAGGAGACCACGTACTTGGAGGACCGGCCTCTGCACCTGCTTACCTGTGCCAATGAAGAGAACTGTCTGTCCTCCTCGGCAGCGCGCATGAACTGGCCCTACGGACACCGCCGCTTGCTGCGCTTCTCCTCACGCATCATGAATCTGGGCCGCTCCGACTTCAGGCCCAAAGCCTCAAAGGAGAGCTGGACCTGGCACCAGTGTCATAGGTACAACAACCTTAAGTGTTGACATAGCTGTTGAAAGATGCTTAAAATAAGTACTTAAGTAAATACTGTGAGACACTTTTTGGGAAACCGCATTAGATTAAACTAAGTTTGTAGAGGTTGTGCAAAACAGCTAAAAATATTTGTACTGCACCTGCTCCACAAGATTTCTGTACATGCAGAAAGACATTATTAACACATAAGTAATTCATGTTAAATTAAAAAGTAAACAAGTTGTTCCAGGATGTTCTTTAAATGGTTTGACAAGGATTTGGCACGCAATATCCAAAACAGACTTAGCACAATAAAGTCTTGTTAGTCACTCTGCTGTAATTGGAATTTATGTGTATGCTGCAAAGAAATTTGGTACTATTTAGAGTATGATTCTGTGAGAGAGGTATTCATGTGAAACAGTAGGTTTTTATTGTTTTCTGAAATACGGGTGGCCTTAAACAGTCCTGTCATCATTCATTAGATTGTGTGTTTGGCTGTATGAGTGTGGAACTGAAGTCTAGACCAATCCGGTTTGAACAAGTCACATTTAACAACATACACTGTAGACCATGCGTGGTCCGGTCACGCTAACATTTGTTACAAAAACACATCAGATCTGTGGCTGTAATTCAAAGGCTTCCTTTCACGTGAAAGAGGTAAACAGCTCTGCCGGTCTGTGCTTAAACAAGCTTCTGTAAGAGGTGTTACGGTGACACCCATGCTCGTGCTCTAGCAGTGAGGTCATTAGGCTATTAGCCATAGGGAGCCAGTGTTCATGGAGCTCAAATGCACACAGTAACAGACAGAAATATGCAGCCTCTCACCTGGAGTTTCCCTCTGTGCCCTCTCAGGCACTACCACAGCATCGAGGTGTTCACACACTACGACCTGCTCACGCTCAACGGCTCTAGGGTTGCTGAGGGACACAAGGCCAGTTTCTGTTTAGAAGACACTTACTGCCCTGATGGTATGTTCATAATCACCACTGTTAATCTAACACATCTACACACATGTTTTACCTCATCATGTGTTCAATAAAAGTAACATGTACCCTTTTGTATATGGTAGGCGTTCAGAAACGTTTTTCCTGCTACAACATGGGAGACCAGGGCATCTCGGTGGGCTGCTGGGACACATATCGCCATGACATCGACTGTCAGTGGGTTGATGTGACTGACGTACGCCCGGGGGACTACATCTTCCAGGTCACTATCCTTTATCACTTCTTTATAACCAATCTTGAATGGCACTATAACATAATTCACAATGTGTTTCAATGTAAAAGGACATGTCTTCTTTCGGTAAATGGTCCTGACCTCCCCAAAGCCATCACAGGCCACAGCCACCCATTGGCCTTTCATTACATTGACCCTGCTCAATCAGTCGAGTCATTGTGGCCACTCCAGCTAAACACATCAATGAGACCACCTCCTATTCTGCCCATCTCCAGTTGAGACTCCTGAGACCCATGGCATGCAGCAGTCCTTCAATCTTAGCACACTGCCAATTACCTCCCTGTGGCTGTGGGAGACGACTTGTGTAACAGCGGCTCGCAAGCTGTGTCTGAGCGGGTGCCCTTCATTTAGTACTATAATTATCCTGGTCTAGCACACTACGCTACATAAAAAATGGATTCAATTGACTTATTATAGATTTGGAAGACACATATAAATGCCTCTAGTCGTTGATCATTTTATAGTTATGACTTGATGGTTGTATGTAATTATAAAGCAGAACATTGCGAACTTGTGCTTATTTTGTAGGATGATAAAAAATGAATGAACAAGAAGCACAAAACTAGAAGGTTGAAGGGTCAGGTCATCCGAGGACCCAGCAATTCCAGCCAAGACATAGAAACTAAATGAAAAAGCAAGAAACGACAGTCATTCATCAAGACTACAAAATTGGAAAACTACAAACAGTTTTTACAGCTCGCTCGGCTGTTATTTCACTTATCTAGTAAAGTGCACATGATGACTGACTGCTCTAATCCAGGGCACTGCAGATTCCCTAAGTCATCTTTTTGAACCACCCTGCGCTAATGAAACACACTAATTACCTAAATTAAGCACTGCCTCTCTGGATGGGAGCCTCCTAGCACCTCTCCATTAGGAACAGCTAATTTGCCACCAAGGAATTCTCCCTGGTCTGTCTTTATTTTTACTGCCTGTTCCTCACTGGGCATATTCACAGAGGGCCCCTGCAGAGACCTCATGTGCTCCACTCCAACGCTGTAATTTAGGTCGAAAAATTAAGAGACAGTTTTTGTGCATTTACAATGTTTTAAGGTTTTCTTCCCTTTTTAGCACAGGTTGCCTTTCTTCGCCTGGCTGCTGTTTGTAACATGTACTTAAAGTGGGTGTAGCAGTTTACAGAGCAGCTATTAGAGTGAAAGGCTCCTCTGTGTTATCACTCAGCCAGATTAAGAGAATGGTTGTATCAGCACTTATGCAGCAACACTGCAAAAACACATTATTAGTCCAGGCAGTGTCAGAACTCATAACAACATTATGTATAACTACCATATTGCTTAATTTTCAGACTGCAGACAAATTCAGAAACTCAGTGTCTGCAAATGGTCCCTAAACACTATTTTATACAGTCTGATGAATGGTTATCTTTCAGCACGCAATAAAATTCAGTCCACAGTGCAGAGACAGCTACCTTTGTATTTTATCCCATTTACAACAAATTACACTCAAGCTTTAAGTGGCTCATTCAACTCAATCAAAAAGTATTCATACAAATCATGTATGTTTAATGGCTTGGTTGGTAGTTTATTTGCTATTTGTAGTTAAAAACATATTGGAAACAACATGTACAAGAAGCTCAAACTTGTGGGAAGTTGCAAACCCAGCTTATAGTAGGATACAAGTTAAAAAAGTAAAAGGGGCTGATATTGGTGGAACTCAGATTCTAGACTGTGATGATACTTAACTATTGATATTATTGTATTTTGTCATGAATATCCAAAAAGTAAATTCACAAACATCTATCTCGATCATTTATTCTTTTGATTTGACCACAAAACTCATATAACAACAAAATCTGCATTTTAACAATATCATTTCATAGCAACGCACAATGTAATCAATACGAAAATCTGGGTCTTGCCCCCCATCTGGGAGTACAACACCATCACATTATAGAAACTACCAAGTCAAATGCATCCAAACCACTTCAAAATATGTTGGATTCAAATGAAAAACACATAAACTGTGTCCTGTTTCATTCATTGCAGGTGGAAGTGAACCCCTCGATGGACATGGCTGAGTCTGACTTCATGAACAATGTAATGAGATGTCGCTGCAGATATGATGGACAGAGAGTTTACATGTACGGCTGCCATGTTGGTAAGGGCATTTGAATATTCACTACAACAGTATCTGAATAAGGGCTGGGCTATTCATTAAATTTTAGATTCAGAGAGATTCATTTACTTCTAATTGTTGTTTTTTAATCAAGAGGTCTATAGCCAAGCCACTGTCAGTAAAAGCATGTGGTTTGGAGCAAAGTTTAGATTTTAACCACTTACCACAGGTGCACTATGTAACTTTTTGGTCCTTCACCTGCTTGTTTCTATGGATATGTCATTGCTCTGCCTGGAATGTTCCACAGTATGACATTAAACAGCTCCACCATACATTTATTCAATTACATGTGGTTTTACAACTCAAAAATATCTAGAAAAACAGGCTTTCTGACTGGGAGCAGGATTGTCGCTCAGATCTAACCTGTAACTGGGTCTGGTTTGGTCTCCATGAAGATACAAATGTTTAATACCATACTGTGGAACATTCCAGACAAAGCAATAACCTCTCCATGGTGAAATCTATATGACAATTATTATTATTATTATTATTATTATTATTAATTTACCGTCACGCCCAGCCCTACTGTGAATTCTCTTGTATGTATCTAACTTTGTTATTTATTGTACAGGGGACGCATACAGTGCAGAAGTTGAGGATCTGTTTGAGCATCAGAGACAAATCACCAATAACTTTGTGTAGGAGTTCTGTGGCAGTGAAGAGGGAGCAAAAAACACTCAGGGGGAGGCTGGGGGCTAGAGGAATCACAGACAGCACAGAAACTGTCTGTCCACAAAGTTTGTTCTTCGCAGATGTGGATTAAACTGAATCATAATGAAGAAAGGACCATTTGAGGTGAATCGCACTGACAAGAGAAGAACAGGTGCATCTCCTTTTTATGTTTTTATTTCAGTGAAAAGACTGAAAATGGGTGAATGTGGATGACTGGGAATTCAAAGGACAATGAACTAAAGAGGATGATACAGTAGAGGGACTATAGTGATCACAATGTTTACCATAAAATATCTGCCGTATATCAAGGTGCAAAGCCGATCACATGACACATGCATAAGTGGTGTTAGGTACTATATAGTAAGCATAATCTAAAATCGTGTATTCTATAACTGTATGATTCAACTTAAATTGGTGCTCTTTATCAATACTGCAAATCTAAATGTATTTGAAGTGAAAACTGTTTTGTTTTATTTTCGTTTACTCAGAATTATAGTTTTTTATTAGTGCTAAACTCTTGATCTATTGTATCCTGTAGTCAAGTAATGTTCATGAAAAAGCACTTTATTAAGTCAGTATTTTAAATTTGTCCCAATATGTTTAGTCTCAATGATACAGATTGCTATTGAGGTATTAGGATATTTTACATGTTTTCACTTGTTAACTGTATGTTTTCATTTGCAATGTTCTATTTATAGAGTAACTTTATTTATTCACAGCACTCAATAAGATTTTATTTACAAGTGTCTAATTTCAAGACCATTTTTAAAGCTATAGCAGAAAACTGTTCTCACAGTTGTAGGGTGTATTAACTTTCCAGTGATGCCTATGATTTTTTGAAGTTTGCATTTTATTTTACATATTAAACTGAGAGTTGTTCTATTCAGCCCTTACTGATGGGAGAGAGAAGCCTTTTGATGCAACCACAGTATTGTGGTCTGGAGGCAGGCTGCACTCTCTGAGCATATAAAGCCTTTTAATTACATCTGTTTGGTTAGACCTAAGCTTATGGTTAAGATTAGGATATAGAATGAGCTTTAAAAAGAACACTACAGAGGTGTAAAGGAAGTGTATGGACAAGCCCATGACAGACCTGGACTGGGACCACCCCACACACCACTATGAAAATCCAATTAGAAGTAAAACATGTTTGGAGATGTTTGCAGATGCAGTTTTTACACCCGAGTGGTGTTATATGACATGCTCAGACCGCAAGCACAGGTCTCTTAGCTCCAATAGAATTCAACCTGTTTATCTGTATATGTAAAACAAACTCATCTATCTCCCATGACTCTCTGAATCAGTCACTCCAAACTGTTTCCCAAGCACTGGTCCTCAATTATTGACTTTACAACATGGAACTTATGTTGTTTTCTACTCACAACAGTTTGATGTGTTTCCCATGTGGTCATTCTGGGCTAGCCCTGTTAAATTTCCTGATGGACAGTTTTTTAGGATACAATTGGTGAGAGACTGGTCACTCGTAAAGATGAGTGTAGACCTCAGTAATTCCTTCAGCAGATATTTCTTCTTTTGAATTCTTCTAATGTTTATTTGAACTGTATGAACTTTGAGAACAATGCAGCTTTTTAAGATCTATTATTGATGCATTAATATTGTTTTGTGATTTTGTATGACTGTGTAGTGCCAGTGTCTTTTCTGTGCTATTTAATATTTTATGTCATTCTTTACTTAAGTTCATACTTACTACGTCTTCCTGTTGCTGTTTGATCATGCTAAACATAGCAGAGCAAATGACTTTCTACGGCCAGTTTCTTTCATTTTCCATAGAGCTGAGAGTGTGGGCTACTTGGTGCTTCACAGGCAGTGGTGCTCTCAGGGACTTTTGACCTCATCAAGAGTTAAAGAACATGTGATGTGAGTTAGGTCGCTTTAAGCTGTGGTCTATACATAATGTCATGATGGATCTATACATCTATGAAATATAGTGTGTCTAGTGATACATATTTCCTTGAGAAAAGTTGTGGATAGACACTGGCTGAGTCAGTGGAAAACTCCAATTCAAGAACAAGTCACATTCATTTATCATTACTGTGAATCAATAAAACTACATCACATAGTGAAGTGTCTGTCTGCTGTTTATTCTGCATGTGCTGCACATTATGTGTGGATGATAAAATGGTGCCAGTGGTATACTTTCTTTCCACCTGCTCTAATAGAGAGTCATTTAGTGGTGAGCTGTGAGCTCATAGATTAAACACATTTAATCCAAGTGTCTTCTGTGCCCAGTGTTAAACCTGTTGATGGCTCAGTCCACTACAAACACTCCACTCATGGGAACTGTCAGTACGCCGACCATTCCCAGTAACAAAAACATGGCAGAGAGTGTCAGATGTATGATATCTGGTGGTGGATAAATCAGCTCTGTCTGGAGAGGAAATTTACACTTTCTAACAAAAGTCTGAGTTCACACAGGGCTGACGTGTCCACCCTCAACCAAAACATGGCTCGTGTGAAGTGGTCTGTCAGCTGCTGGGCAAACAGGAAGAAGAAACATGAAAGAGAGCACCTGGGCTAATGTAGCCTTTTTTGTACAGGTTTAGCCCGCTACATGCACTTTTAGCCTATTAGATCCATATTTAATCTCACACTGAAACATGGCCTTGTTTTCAATCTCATGGAAATATTTTGAGTTTGGAAAAACCTCTGCTCTTCTTTAGTCATACTCTATATTCTTAATGATTATGCACAAGACCTGTTATACTCAGTTATATTTACTTTTTAATATGGTAAAATGTTTATAGTTCAAGTATAATAATTTCTACATTCCTCATTATACTGTTTAAATTCTTTTCCCACTGTGAGTAAAACAACATTGCATAACTTTTCACGTTCAAAGGCATGTCTCTATTGAGATTGAGATTACTTTAATCTTACCTAGGCCTATCTACATTTTAATTTTGTTTTGTTCATCAAATGACATCATCACTATTGCATAAAATACACACAAAAGGCCCATCAATCCTCATCAGGACCTGGTGAGGAAAGCTCTGAAACCAGAGGAGACTGAAGTCACATGAGCAAACATGTGTAGTCTTGATGTTCTCATTCTATCCTTAGAGGCCACTTCCTGTTTGCAGCACATGTTTGTATTCCAGAGGGGCCCCGTGCCACCCCGCCCTGACCCGAGCGGGACCACTGACAGCTCCACAATGGCGACTGTGTGCACCTTCTCTCAATGACAGACCTGTCTATACAAGCTCCCCGAACACCCAGCCCACAGCTGTAAACGCACAAATCACACACACAACTTCACTGCGTAACACTCCTTTGTTGTCATCTTCTTTTGGGAGTTAACGTTCCATCTTGCGCAGCTAGACAGGTACAGCAGAGGATTTAGTCATCTGATTTGGGGATGCACAATTTGGGGAAAAATCTAATTGTGATCTTTTTAAGTATTGCTATGGCGACTGGATTTGCAATTGAAGTTTAAAAAGTAGAATTTTGTTCAGTGTGCACAATGTAAACAACTCTAGGAGCACTGACATTTGAGAGAAGACTGAAATGTGAAATGCTAAACTAATCCAAGAATCCCATACATTTTAGAGGTCTAAACTACAATTGCAGCAACATTTTTCTATAAAAAAGATTTTATCTAACCATATCTGATCAGGAATGGGAAAACTTCTACATACATACAATGGTAAACTTCAAACTCAGTAATATGGAGAGAGTTTTGTTGGAAGAATTTGGTTAGGTTTTTCAAAACACCAGTCCAGGAAAAACATTACACCAAATCGTCAAACTGTGAAAGTCAATGTGGTGAACTGGAGGACCATATATTGTATATTGTTCCATTTTGGAGGGAACTTCACAAATCATTACAAACTATGTTCTGTATTGACATGAAACAATTTATCTGGGTCTCCTGATGGGTGAAAATTGACATATAAAGTTAAATACCTGTTCCAGATTTTGAGTGCAGCTGCTGGGAAAGCTAGCCAGGAAATGGGTTAATTCACAAATACCAACACTGGATGAATAGTTTGAGATTTTTTATGATATTTTTAGAATAGTGAGAATTACGACTGTAACAAGACAAATTTAAGAACAAATGGAAAAGGTGGACTAAATTTATCAAAACTGTAAAACCAAATTTAGTTTGACCCTTTACTTTATTTTTCTTGCAATTGGTTGTAATAATTATTCATGTGTATGCATCAAAGGTACACAACACATATTATATTGTATTTGTCTTTTTCATATCACTCAAAAAAAAAAAAAAAAATAGAAGAAGATTTTGTTCTCTGCAGAGGACCTTCTATAATCTAAATAACTGCAGCCTCATTTGATAAGTGTACCTACTCAAATGCGATTAGATTGCGATATTTGAGCTGTCCTAATCTGATTTTAGGACAACTCTTGAGAGGGAAGGTTGTTTAATTTTGCCCAGCATTCACTCATCATTGCTCGGGCTCTAATGGCTATTGTGTATTCCCATTAAGTATAATTTCATTTGTGTGCACAACAATAGATCATACACAACTAGTGGCGTACAATAAATTGGTTCCTTAAGTCATCACCTGGTATCATTAATATTTACAGATAAGAAAACCGCTCTCCCGCATTCATGTAATTACACCATTCTATTTGAGGAGAAAACACATTACGAGCCCCATTGAAAGTGTAAATGAATACACAAGGAGATTAATGATTTTTAATATAGCGATGTATAGCCTTATCAGCTTGGTGCATTATATTGTATTGAGGAGGTTGTAGTGAAAGTGCACGTATGTAACCCCCCCACCTTCACCCCTCATCTCAGGACGGTCCCACCATAAGATTTACACTGAGCCAGCCCTGTGAGAGAGTGCACACATGCTCTGCCCAGTCTCTACACTGCACCCTGACAATTACTTCTATATATACCACTCCAAATGAGAGCCGTGAAGCAGCGTGATTATAGGGTGGAGCGCATGCAGGCACAGAGAGAGGGAGAGAGAGAGGGAGAAAGGGAGAGCGAGAGAGAGGAAGAGTGGGTGAGAGGGAGTCAGAGGAAGAGAAAGAGGAAGAGAGAGAGAGAAAGAGAGAGGGGGCAGTTGGACTTATGATGGAGGTGGAAAGAAGAGAGCACCTAATACAAGCAGAAGTCAGCGGCCTCTGCTGTAAATTTTGTTGTGTGCATTTTCTATTGAGCCTTTGTTTGGGAGCTGGATCAAACTAAAGGCAGATTTATGTGAATATAAAATAAAAATGTAAATAAAAATGTAAATATATATTTTTTATTTGCTCTTTTTTTTATTCTTTACATTTTTTGGGGATTTATTTCTTATTCATTTGGAAAATATGGTACAGTGAGCTTTGGGCAGGGTACACATTGGCGTTTGTGTCGTATGTAACAGGGTGAACTTTGACAGTTTTGGTGAAGATGTGCTGCCCTCTACTGGAAACATGTGAAACAGGCATAGCAGGCAAGCAACTTAAAGGACAGGCAATAAATTAGAACATGGGGTGAGATGTTCATTTCAGTTAAAATAGCTTATTATAGATAACAGAACAAAATGAATTATGATGTCTTTTCCTTCAATAGTTTTCTTGCTGAAGCCTGGTGTATTTTGTAAATCTACCGTGGCCGGTCTCTTTGTGATGGGACATATGTGTGAAAGAGTTAGTTTGGAAGGCTAATGATAACACAGGGAAGCCCCCCCGCAACAAACTCTACATGAGATGGTATGTGATGATGTAAGGTTGAGGTGTGAGCCTTAACAGCACAGCCTACCTGATGGGGTCATGCGATGGTGGTGAATGGTTTTAAAAGAGCTGTTGTGCTAATCCCCTGTCACCGTGGAAACCATCCCTGTGGGTAGAAAAGCTGCAGGATCACATTTACCATAGACCAGTTTTCATCGTTCAGAAGACCACGCTCCGCCTCACTCCAGCGGCTCGCATAATTGAAAGCATCTTGGCATGAAGATAGAGTCAAGGTGGCATATCAATGGCTGCATACTCCAAGGGCATGCAGATAAGGGAGAGGCTGTTCTCTTAACAGGCCCTGGTCATGATAGGGTCACTGGCCCTCCTCAAAAAGACAACATGTTGGCGCCGCATGCACATACAAATGGTTTGAGCTAGTCACTGAGGTGAGGCCAGCTGCTACAGTGGTCAGTCATAATCTAAGTGAAATGTTTTGCTACCATCCCACACTTATGCATCCAGAGCACAGCGGGGCTTCAGAGCGGCAAATCGTTCAAATCCAATATGAGGCTTAAAACTATAAGAGTTACTTGGTATGACACTAATTGGTATTAAGAAAACTTCACCTGCTCCCTACATGTCTTTAGCAGGGTGCTTTCTTGGTGGTGTATTGAAGTATATTCCTTATTAAATTATTGTTCAAACATCACATTTCATTTAACACTTAAAATAACTGTAGAAGCCCACCAATGGCCTTGTGAACATAAGGTAAAAATGGTCTAAAGGTGTTTTGTAACTACACAACAGTTTGGCAGAATAGACTTTTAATATTATCAGACATTTTAGGCTAACATTGGCCAGTAAATCATCTTATTATACCATTTTATAGATCAATATGGCCTGAACCAATATCTTGGAAGATGATATCTGATTCACCAAAATGCTCAATATCGAGGTCTATATCCAGTACCAGTATTGGTGCATCCCTAGTCATGATAACAGATTTTGAAGCGCAATGCTACAGAGATACAGTGCCATAAACTATAATATTGAATCTATTTTAAGCTACTGACACAATAAAGAATGATAAGTCGATACAGTAATTATCGTGCCACGCTTAGTCCGCACTGACTCAGAGAACATCATTGCACTTCACAGATTGTCATAATATTCCACCTACTTGTATCCACTGACCTGCTCCTCCCTGAGAGAGTATCTGCTCAGCTTCACAGCACTCCACCAGGCCACGGCCTACGACTCCCACATCTCTGCACAAATAAAAAGGCGTGCCAAGCAGCATTAACTCTGCATCCTTATCGCTTTTGTGACTGGAGACATTTTATGAGTGGGACCTGTCAGTACTCTAAGTCACCAACAACAAGCAGGGCCGTGTGTTCTGCACTGCTG